GGGAAATTTGCAGCATGCTGGAGTCCATGGGAAAAATCATACTGATGTTTCTAGCCCTGCACTGTGTTTTCATATGCCATGCCCCTGGTCACATTGAGAGTTACGGGTTTTTTGGCTCAGCCCAACTGGTGCTGTAGACAGTCCTCCAGCATCCTCAAGGAGAGGAAAAGTACCTGCTGGGGAACACTGCTAGGATGTTTCCCCCCTTTCACTGGGATTTGAGAAACAAAATTTGGACCTTTTAAAGTAAAACAGCTGTGGTTTCAAACCACAGCCTTAGCCCAGGGGTCAGGATATTACCCCTAAGGTCTCTGTGAAAGGTAACACAGAGGAAGCAAGGTCACAGCCTTAAACTTGCTGCGTTAAGACTCTGCATTAGAAAAAGTGTAAAGATCCACAAATCAAAAGATGTGGAAAAGCATTGGTTTAGATGGTTTCAAAAGCAGGTTTCCAATGTTGGTTTTTTTTTTTTTCACTCAGTAGCTCTTTAGATATGTGGATTTCTTTTCCCCTCTAAGGAATTCTTACAAACCAAAATACTCCCTTAGTCCCAGAAATGACAGTTGACTTAATTCCACTCACCAGGCAGTAAAGGGGAACAGAAAATGGGGAGACAGACTAATGCTGTAGTCTTTAATTCAGCTTTCTCACCTTATTCCAATATGAGATTAATTTTACAGCAGAAACTCTATTTCCATTAGATATACCTGCATTTTTGTATAAATTCTCAAGCCAGCCCACTGCAGTCCAGATGGCAACTGCAGGACAATGCTAGGGCTGTGTTCTCGCAGTGTTAGAGGGGTTTGAATCTCTGGCTATGGTTTTAAATCCAGACTAAAGCAGCTAAGAGGCAAAGTAAAACACACAGCACCCACTGTTAACACTGTTATATTACCTTGTTGCACTCAGAGTCACAGCTTGCTGTGGGCCAAGGTCTGGGTTCCCGATGAAGCGACAGCCTCAAACACATGGTTAAGAGCAGGCTGATGCTAAGCCAGCATCCTGGCACTCTGCAGATCTGCCCAGTAAGGCCCGACTAAAGAACAGGGTGTTAGCACGTGACTGAGGTTAAAGACATGCGCATATGATGGTTTGGATCTGGGCCTGCAGGCCAGGCTCAGCCAAACTGACTTCCACCTTCGTTTCTGTGTCTGGTGTTCACTAACGGACAGTTCTCGGCTTTCAGGATATTTTAACCAGTAAAAAAACCTCACTGTACAGAGACCAGTATTGATAACAAAGCTGTAGGCAGAATCTAGTCCACAGCCCAATGAAAAATGGGCAAAACCTGATTGCCTTCAACAATCTACAGAGGAGTTACAGCTCCATACATGGGTGTTTGCAGCCTTCAGTGCCATGCTAAGAAATTAAACTACTCATTTCAGGCTTGGAAGCTGCCTGGATAGTTCAGCAGAGAATAAGCAAAAGAAACTTACATAGTGTGGATGTCAAAAGAGCCCCTTAAAAGACAAATTAAATCATAAGTTATTCTCAAAAGACAGGGCTTGCTCTTTGCTCACATGGTGTCAAGGTGTGGCTGGACACGGTGATACTTCCTAAGCCAGCCTGCATTACGCTTCGGTAGAAGATGAGATAGTATTGACATAGGTACTGTTCGATAAGATTCTTTCGTTAGAAATAAACAGATTTAGGAGATTTTGGCTCTGTTTCTTTCAGGATGGTTTTTCCCTATGCCTCTTGAATTGTGTGTCAAAGTCCTTGGGAGCTTGTGGAAGGGTCTGAAACACAAGAAGAAAGGAAACTGTCCTTCCCTATGCATGTCTTTCCTCGTTTCACATTAGGACTCAGGCTTTTACTGGGAAAATGTTGCTTTGTGTGTTACAGCACGCACATCCATGAGCAGAATTGGGTTTAAAATATACATCCAAGTCAGGGAGACTGATGGAAGAGCTTATTTGTCTCTTAAAAACCTAAAACGTTTTCAATATGAACTAAACCGATTGTCCTGGGCTCAGCAGTAGCAGTCCTTTTACTCCTTAGTAGCTGGTGCAGTGCTGTTTTTTTTTTGACTTTCAGTCTGGGAACAATGCTAATAATACTGATGTTTTTAGCTGCTGCTAAGTAATGTTTACTCTGACCAAGGACTTTCTGAGTCTCATGCTCTGCCAGGGAGCAGAGGAAGCCGGAAGGAAGCAGAGACAGGACACCTGACCCAAACTAGCCAAAGAGGTATTCCATACCACAGCACGTCATGGCCAGTATATAAACTGAGGGGAGTTAGCCGGAAGGCCCAGATCACTGCTCAGGTCAGGCTGGGTATTGGTCGGCGGGTGGTGAGCGGTTGTATTCTCTTCCCTTGTTATTTCCCTTATCATTATTATTATTGGTGGCAGCAACGGTTTGTGTTATACCTTAGTTACTGAACTGTTCTTATCTCAACCTATGGGAGCTACATTCTTTTGATTCTCCTCCATATCCCTCTGGGAGTTAGGGGAGGAATACAGAGGGGAGTGAGTGAGCAGCTGTGTGGTTCTGAGTTGCCACCTGGGCTTAAAACCACGACACCAATACAAACTGAAGTTATGTCCTGGTACAAATTGCATCTGTCCTGGGCTGATATGTCATCTAAGGGCTGACCCTGAGGTCTGACCTGGAGAATCCAATTTGCCAGCCTATTTCCACACTGATTTGCAAACTGCACAAAGAAAATAAGATGGTTTTGTTGGTGCGTGCTGCTTCTAGCATGCATTAGACCAAAATAAAATGGATGCAGCAGTCATGGAGGTCTTTGGGTCTGCTAGCGAGATAGTAGCTCTTGAAGCAAAAAAGATACAGGATAATAAATCCAGTTGCAGACGTAAAAGGAAGATTTGCTTTGCTGCTTGGGATATTGGTCCAGGGTATGGAAAACAAGGTTTCTATTTTCTCTTCACCTGGCCAGATGTTGTAGCAACATTTGCTTGAAAACACTTTATTCCTAGGTGGCAAATGTGCAGTGTCATGTTATGCTCATAGGACTTTAACCAGCCGGAGATCACAGCCAGCCTCTGTTTTCTAAATCTGCTCTTGGTAAGTGTGCCATGAAATGACTTCACTGCACTAAAACTGTTCCTGAAGAAAGCTGGCCCAACGGCTGGTAATTAAACCTTTGGCTGATGGAAACTGTTAAAATGGATTGCTGCTTTGCCAACAGCGTTATAGTTAACAACTCAAAAGCCTTTATACTTTTTCTATAAAACACGTGGAAGTTTTATGCCTGGAATATCTATGGCAATAAAGTCAATGTGGTGCTTCATTTTTGTTTGTAGCATTAAAAATTGGAAGAGAAAAAAGAACTATGGTTCAAGAATGAGATCTGGAGTTTGTACTCTGCAAAGCATGTTCAGTTGATATCTATGGGTTTGGTACAGCCCAGTACAGTGATTTAGATATCAGGACAGATTTAGATTCCAAATTCTTATACAGGCATCTAAAAGAGAACTAGGTGCCTGCACCTTGTTGTAGGCCAACCCTTGTTGGGCTGGCCAACGCTGATTCATTGTAAAAATTCAAACTGACACCTGGTTCTGCCCTCTGGACTCCCTGAGAGCATTTGAGTCAAGGCTGGGTGATGGTTCTTGTTCAGACCTCTTCTGTGCTCAGTCAGGCTTCCTAATGGAAGCCATTATTCTGTCTGAAGGGCTGTTCAGCACCCCTCTGCTTCAGGCTCACCCAGGAAGGACCTCCTGGTCAGTGCTGACACAACCAAGATAACCACAGTCCCCTTCTCCTATGATGGATGCTTGTGATGCCTCCACTCAGTATCAAGGCCTACAGCTAAGCTGAAGGTGAAAAATGGTGGCACTTCTGTTCCCCAAAGGCACTCAGCCAAATCCAATCAGAACCATTTAACGCCTGCCAGTGAGTGGCAGTTCAGGGCCGCCTCTCCTCTGGCCGGGGCTGGTATTGATGGGATGCATTAGTCACGCAGGAGTTGTTAAAAGTGCTGCTGCGATAAATTGCGAAGTCATACATGGCCATCGAGTTATGAGTTTGCTCTGGGAGACAGCAATACTTCAGAGCTTGACTAATCCCTTACAGATTTGAAACCGGGAGGGATGTGGTTAGGCACTGAAAATGTCCCCGTTTTATTGCCGATGATGTATTATTTAAGCCTCCAGTCCTCTGGACTGCTTCAGTTAAGACTGGGGCTCGTGCCTTTGTGTTCCAGCCAGCTTTCTCCCAGTGGGAGGTAAGCTTGTCTGCAAGACCTCTGATAGGCTTAAAGCGGCCAGAGTTTCGGCTGGATGGAAAAAAAAACCACAATTTGGTAGCTACTGAGAGAATACTGCCGTATGCTGCAGGATCTCTTCGGTTTACACCTAGGGATGGAAATATGTGTGCTCATCCATTGTGCATAATGGTCAAAGCAGACATTCAGAAACATTACCACGGGTAAAGTAATACTTTTCCTTGCTGATTTCTTCATGGTGGTGTCACTTGAACTCACGGAATCATATCGGCACTCACTCAGCTGTGCAGTGTCCCGGCCTTACTGCTCCCTTACTACACAGGTCCCAAAGACATGCTCTGTATACCCTCCAAATGCAGTTCTAGACGTGCTGGAGCAGGCATTTCACCTGCTCCTATATCTGCTTAATTACAAATCATAAATGACGAGGGGGTATGTGTGGTGATGCTCCTTGAGGCTTGCTCTATCTGGGAGCGGCTTCTCCATTTATACCTCCTTAGCGGGGACTCACTAAGCTCTTTATTCACTGCATTCTCAGGAGCCTCTGGGAGGTGCCCCATGCAGCGCCCCACGCACAGCGGAGCTGCACATGCCGTGTGCCGAGCGCCCTGCAGCCCGGCTGCTGCGCCAGGAGCTCTGGCCCACCGACTGAGCGCTGGGACTGCCCCGCCGGTGAGCGGCAGCAGGGGACACCTCCGGACCCGTCCCTGCTCCCTTCCCCCTCACCTCACGGCGCCATCTCCTAGCCCCGCCCCCGTCGTGTTGCCGTGGAGGCGCGCGGCGCCCCGGCGCTGCCGGCCCGGGCTGTCCACGGCGTTCGCCTGCGGCGAATGGGCGGCGGTGGTGGGGCAGCCGCGGGCCCTGCCTGCCGGGCGCCTCGTCAGCGGAAGGAGGAAGCGTCATGGCCGAGGCCTGGGCTGGCTTCTCGCAGGAGGAGCTGCGGCGCCTACGGGCCCAGCGCCCAGGTACGGATCACGACTGGGCTCTGGCGGGGCCGGGGCTTGGCACCGGGCCGGCCGTAGTGCCTGTCCCGGTTAGCATGGGGCGGCGGTGCGGAGGAGCTTACGGGCCCTCGGCACCCGGTCAACCGCAGCAGCTGCACCTACCTCCCTTCGTCTTCTCAGCCTTCCGGCCCCTCAGTCCCCTACATCCCCACCTCTGTCCATCCTCTCAGCTCTTCCGGACCATCCTCACATCAAACGCCTCGGGTTCTCCCGGAAGTCCTTTGTTTCCCCCACCTAGTCCTTCGGCCCCTCCCGTCCCATACTCCATCGCTCACTGCTCCCGTCTTTCTCCCCTCCAGCCCCTCTGTCTCTCAACCCACAAGTCTCTGATACATTTACAGATGCTCTGGCTCTTGCCCTGCACCTCCATCTTCCTGTACACTACCCCATCCATGTTTCTATGTGGATTCCATATGTAGCTTCCTCTGTGTCTGTCACCTTGTTCTTCCCTGTTCTTCACTTTATAAACGCCCAGTTTGTCCACCAGACTGTCTGGCACCTTTGTTTAGTCCTAGGTTCATCTCTCCATCATTGCCCTAAGAGTTGCCTCACTCCTACCTATGGTTCTTCCTTTAGTCCCGTATTCCAGGCCTCTTCTCATTTCGTAGCCCCATAGTCCAGGCCTCTTCTCATTTTGTATGTTCAGATCCTTTAAAACTCTTGATTCTTACGCTAACAAAATATTTCCAGGTTCCTGGGTGTACCCATATATTGCCTTCCCTTGACACCCTGCATGTCTTTCCCTTATGTTGGTTTTGCACCAGTTGGCTTGACTAGAAAAGCTTATTCACAGAGTGTGCCTTTGATCTCAAAACTTGGTTTTAATCTTGTTTCTGCCTCTTGTCCATTGATAGATTTGTATGAACCCTCAGAGCAGCAGCATCACCCCCACACTACAAATAAGAGTAGGAAGCAATCCCTGCGAGAAAAAGCTCTCCAGCAGCAATGTCGGAAGCTAGGACTGCAGGGTGGAGCAGCTTCTGTGCCTCCTGAGCAGTTACTTTCTGTACCAAAACACAAACCTTGTCATCCTCAGCAACTTGTGCCACCACCTCACCCTCCTTCAGCAGGAGATCAAAGGCAAAATGACAACCAAGACCAGCAGAAGGAAGTGACACCGGTAGATCCCTGTAATGGCAGTGACAGTGTCCAGACCCACCCTGCAAAGCCCAGCTCCAAAGTGGAAAAAAAGAAAGTGGAATTGTTAGTAAGTTGGTAAAATCAGGGGATGGGTTTTATTGTTCTGTATTGATTCATTCTTTTGTTGTGAATTGAAGTGAACTTTTCTGTATCTAATGGGAAGGTTTGAGAGATCATGTTTGCTGTCTCTGCACTGAACCTTTGGTTTTCACATCTGGTTGTGTTAAACCTGACTAAGGACCAAATTCTATAGTGTAATCCGTGCAGATATGCACCATGCTGTCTTTGGGTAATTTCCTGTGATATTAGAACTGTACATCATAAAGTGTCCAAGATGTAGGACTGTCTTAATGGTTTATGAAGACTTAGTCTCACCATCGAGCTGTGTATGCAAGCCAGCAGCCACAACAGAAAGCCCTTTTTGGAGCAGATACGCTCTGGTGTTCTCTTTACGATATTGCTGCAGGTCTGTGAATGCCAAAAGTCTTGGTAAGGATGTAAAATTTCAGGTTTAAGCAGTTGTCTAGCTTTTATGATTCAAGATGAGACCAATCTCAAGGCTCTCACCTGTGCATCAGCCAACAGCAGGTTGCTTCTGCTTCCCGCAGAAGCTTCAAAGTGATGCATGTAAGAGAGAGAAAGGAAAAAGTTCTGAACATGGCTCTCTGGGAGTCTGATTGAATGTGGCAATTACACTAGTTCATCACCCAGAATTCAGAAGATAGCCTATAAAAGGAAGCTGCTGTCTATCTGCTAGAGAGGGCAGTCATTTCCAGTGTGAGAAATTACTTGGTTTTACCTCTTGATGTTTGTCTTCTTGTCTGTATCCACATGCTAATTTTATTTTCTTCCTCAGCAGGCAAAATAAGACTTGAGGGGCAAAAGGTTGAATTCTTTTTCTAGGGCATATGGTTTATTTTTAAAGCACTCTATTTTTAAAACAATGCTGCAGCAGCTTTGAATTCCTATGCAGGTCCAAACTTTTCTGCCCAATATAATCAACAAACACTAGCTGGCCACTAAACTTCCTTGCATGATTTGTATTCCCCAAAAACAGGGATGAGCAGCTTTCCAGGTGTGGCGTGCCAGACCCAATGGCTGGTTAGATCTGTCTGTAGGCTCTCAGAGGTGACTGAAGGTGCTTCCTGCTGGAGAGGCAGGACTGTGGCAGTCAGCAGCACTTGTGTGGAGAAACAGTACATAGCTTCTCTCAAATTCAAAACTCAAAAGGATCCAGGAGGTTCTGTTTTGCAGAGGTTTACTTTGAGAGGCTGGAGCTGCTGGTCATGCTGCTGCCATTTACCTCACGAGCTCCTGGCTGGAATCACCTACCTGCAGATAGCTGTCCCATCAGCAGAAGAGCAGCACTTTGAAAAGCAGTGCTAAATTCCTCATGTTGGTGCAGCTCATAGTACTGGCTGCTCAGCTCCTTCCGCGTAGTGGAAAAATACACTGTTTGACTGGGGAAAAGATACCTAAAACTTTGCAGAGAGGTTTTCCCTCTGTGGGGAGCAAATGACCCTTAGTTTCAACAGCCACCCCCTGAACCTGCTGAATTAATCTTAGCCTGTGCATTTGAATTTAGTCTTCTGAAAATATTTATGTGAAGTTGTAGGAATAGGATGTTGAGGAGAGCTCTGAAGAGATATTTTTGTGCAGATACGGTTAAAATTAACATAGCAGAGTTACTTGGGTGTTTTTAAGCTAAGCTATTTTTAAACTGAGACTTCTTGAAAGAGGATATGAAGAATACAACACAGTAGAAAAGCAGCGAAGCAGATTTTGTGTCTCCTTAATCCTGCCCAGCTGTGTTGACACATGTTGTCTCCTCTTGCTTTCCATCCTCTGGGACTAGTTGTATCTCTTAGTAGATGTGGCCTAGGAAATGGAATCCATATAACTCTTTCCCTGGTGGCAAAACTGAATTCTTGTTCTTCCTTGTTGCTCATTTTCACTGCAACTTTTACTAGCCTTTCATTTGTACCAGTTTAATTATCTGTGGACTGTATTATAAAACAGACCTGTGAAATGATCTGTTTTATGGAAAAAACATTTCCAAAAAAAGAGGCTGTGTTGGCAGACTGAACAAATGGTGCCTAGTAGCAGGTCTAGAAACTTGAAACTGCTTCTACCTAGTGGGGAAGCACATCCTGTAAATGAAAAATTCAGTCAATTTCTGAAAAAGTGCTCCATGCTCTTCTAGCAAAGCTGAATTAACCAGCAGCTTACTTGCTTATGAATATTTTTGTTCTGATCAGCAGATTTCATCTGGAAGTGTTTTATTGGTCTGAAAGACTTCTTGCAGATGATTATTCTTTCCCCAGAACCAAAACCTGTTTATTGTTCCTTTGACATTTTTAGAGTTTACTCTAGGAAATATGATGGTGAATATTTGTGTCATTTGGGGAACAGGTGGAGAAATGAACTTTCTGTTAATTTTAATCTTCTTGTCAATGAGCAGGCAGGAAAAGTCTCGATGGGAAATCCTTCAGCAAGAACAACGGCTGATAGAAGAGAAGAATAAACGGAAGAAGGCACTCCTGGCCAAAGCTATTGCTGAGAGGTAAGGGGCTATGCTAAACATGGGCTGAGGCTGAGGAAGGGATTACTTTTCATCTGCAACCAGTTGCATATCATCTGTTTAAATCTCACTTTTTCCTCTTCTCTATGCTCTGTATGTACTGCTCCACAAATGAGCAGCTGTGATTGACATTTCCCTTTGATGACAAGTGCTGGCTAAGAAGTTGTGACAAGCTTTTCACTCTTCCAGAGCTGCAGCTCTGTGCCCAGATGGAAAAGTTATCTCAGAATTTGAGGATTAACTGACATCCTTGTACCTGTTAGTAAGGGCGTATTTGGAAGTTGAGCTTGGATGCTCATCCCTGCTCCGTTCCTGATTTGTTTTCACTGGATTTAAAGAAAGTTTATTTGATTCCTAACCTATGAAGGGAAACTATAACTATGCCTGTTAGGGCTTTTGACTTACTAGTATGTGTTGAAAAGAGGAGATAATCCACTTTAAGAAGGTATCATTGTACCTCTGGCTGATTAGAAATTATAAAAATTCACATGTGCTCACAGTTGTTAGCTCTTGCTCTTCAGGGAACCAGACTTCAGGCATTGTACAGGGTTGTCCACCAAGATAGTTTAAGACTAAGGGAAGGCAAGGTATGTAGGGAAGTATATCAGAGCAGCTGATAACACTGTATCAAGGAAGGAGGTGTGAAGTTTCCAGGCTCCCAGTGCTCTCCCACATATATATTATGTTCTGCCCATCAAAGTTCTTCGGTAGCACAGGTGAACATAGCCAGTGCTATGCAGAATATTCTCTTTGGGGTTCTGAAAGTTTTATTTACCTTTTCCAGGCAGAGATAAAACACATTTGATCTGAATCACTCTATGACACCAAACATGGGTGTGACCAGGCTGGGTACTTCCTCCTGGAAGTAGAGCATGGGAAAGAGAGGAGGACTGGGGAGGTGATAGTTGTGTCTGACATTCAAAGGCCTTCTTCAGTCTCTCAGAAGTACTATAGGATGTCTCTTTCTCTCCACCTGCGTCAGCTGGTCTAATAAGGAGAGATGGTGTTACTTCCTACATACAGAATTGTAGAATGGTTTGGGTTGTAGAAGGGACCTTAAAGATCATAAAGATCACATCTAGTTTTCCTTTCAGGTACTTGCTTTGGGGTCTAAAGCAGTGGCTAAAAAGCACGGTTTTGCTGGTGGTGATGAATGACAGCAAAGTGACGTGGTGTAAAAGCTTGCTGAAAGTTACTTAGCTTGTTTGGGAGTAAAATCTGTCAAAGCTTACTGCCCTTAGCAGCATTTAGTTTTCAGAACTTAGGAATGAATAAGCTGAGTTGAAAAATGTTGTGTAAGGCTTGACTGAAATCCTTTGTGTTTGATGTAAAACTTTCCATTGACTTCATTGGGATTTGGCTAGGCCTTTTGGGAATAATTTTGCAAAATGGAAATCAAGCTTAGGTTAGGTGACTTTTTGGCCCCTACTAACTGGGCTTCTTTGAAAGGGGATATTTGTAGGGCTAAATACCCTTCCCCCTCTTACTTCCCCCCCAAGCCATTTCCTGTTTCCTTACACTGAGAACTACTTAGAGCAGCTTCTTGTGTGTTTCCACTGTAAAGAAACACAATCCATTTTAGGCGCTTTGATTATAGTCATTACATAATTTTGCCACAGTCCTTTAATAGCAGGCATTTTAGATCCCTGTGGATATTATAAAAGATCAAAAGTCTTAAACTGTAAAGGAGAAACCTTCTCTTAAAGAAGTTAGTTGCTCTGCAAATTAAATGGGGCCTGTTGTGTCAAGAAGATAGGCTTGAAAAGGAAAAAGAAAAAGCATCTTCCTTTTACAGATCTAAAAGAACTCAAGCTGAAACAGTGAAACTGAAAAGGATTCAGAAGGAGTTACAAGCTCTGGATGACATGGTGTCTGCTGACATTGGCATCCTGCGGAACCGCATTGATCAGGCCAGCTTGGACTACTCCTATGCCCGGTAGGTGACAAACAGGGAGGAGGGAATAGTCCTGCCTGAGTGTAGAGAGAAACTGCTGTTTCCTGTCACCAAAGTAGTAATGGAGTTTTGTCATTGTAATAATGTGTAGTTGAAGTGGTCACAGTCTGAGGGTCTTTCAAATCTTGAGGTAAAAGTGTGCTTTTTATTTCCTAATTTTTCCCTTGGAATCTGGAAACTGAAGAGGTTTTCTGACTGCAGACTGTGCTTTCCAGCTTCATGCTGTCACAAGACATAATTTGCTGCTTTAACTGTGCAGTTGTCCATAAGCCCTGCTTTACTGTTTCAGGGTTGTTTATTTCTTTTCATGGGGGAAAGAGTTGAGGTTTTGTAAACTCCTAAAAGGAAAGTCCTTTGCAGGGAAACTTGCTTGTTGATGACAGCTCTGGTCCTGTTGGAATCAATGGGACCAATTAAGCTTAAAACATGTAACACTGCTGAAATGCTTTTGGAACTGGGACCAAAAACTGAAGAAAAAAGCAAGTTTTCATCCTTCACAATGTGCCTTTAATCACTCTGGTTCTGATGAGTTCCTGAAATGCAAGAAATTAATCGGAACACACTATTAGTTGTGGGTAAACCACAACATCAGTGGATAAACATCGGCATGTTTATGTAGCCATTTAATAAAATGGAAATGTTCAGTTCTGGTTTTTAGTTCACGGTTCAATGTGTTAAATGTATATTTCTCCTTAGGACTTCTGCTATATGTTGACCTCATAGTAATTAGTCTTTGAAAAAATAGCAGCAGTAGCTAAAAATAAGTATTTCTTTTGTGTAATTATCGTTTGAAATATCTAAGATTAACTGTAGTTTCAGTAGCTGAGTTCATATTAATACAGAATTTCATACCCTCAAGAGGAAAAACATTTCAATCTATTTTAGGTTTAAGTCTGATTTCTAAAACCATTAAGTGCTCCTCGAAATTTCCTTACCAAAATTTGATAATAATTTGTCTATTTGAAATGCTTACTCTCTTAGGAGTGTATAACACAAGTGGCTCTGATGCTTAGAAAACAATTTTTAAGATAACAAAAGGCCATGCTGGTATGCTGGTAAACTTTACAAAATACTTGATGACATTCATGAACTTGGCAAGTCTGTCTTTTTGTGAGGGAGGGATTTGGAAATGTGAGTTAGGTGCTTTGGTGTTACAGTTTTTGTGCCTTATGAGCCAAAGCTGGTTTACTTTTAATTGGTGTCTTTTTAAGCAGTTTTTTAATTGTTGCCTTGTATTTTAGGGCTAAAACACAAATAATTTCATTAGGTCAAAAAACACATTATTAAATAGTCCTGAACACATACATAGCTAGGGGCATTTGACAATTGCTATGGAATGCAATTTTCATAAATACGATATGAAGAATATGTGTGGATTCAGCTCAAAGGTTTAGCTATGCAAAAGCTTCCAGCATAGCGTTAGTTTTTCCATTTCAGATACCTCAGCCAGGGAAATCTTTACTTTCTTGAGAGGGAAACATAAGTGGGCATCTTCTACACACTGCAGACATAGCCTTTACAGCTGGGTCAAAGTTTTGTGGTTATAACAGAGCATATATAGGAAGGGGTTTCTATGTCTTATTTCCTTCTGTTTCCCTAAGCAAGGGATTTCTTCTGTCTTCTGTTGCTTCGTTTAACCAGATATTTGAATCTGGTTTTATAAAGCAGCTGGATTCTTTATTCAACCACCTTACTAATATTAGTTTTATGAATGCTCTGTAAGATACATCATGTAGTCATTCTGCAAAAGCTTTTTCATGTTCCCTTTCCTGATGAGCAAGATTGCATCTCTTTCTACTAAGTAAATCAGAATGTATGGATACATTGAATGTAGTGGAAGATGCATCACTGATGTGGTCACTAACCATTAAAGTGCTAGATATTCTGGAGGTGTTAATCTCAACAAATATTTGGAATATTTCTTTTTTGCTGTACTTGTGATGACAAGAGGTGCAAATTGGCAGGTGTATGTTGGGTGGATGCTTACAAGAAAATTCTACATCTGTTGCCATGCAAAAGTTGTGATCACTATTGATGTCATATGCTGTGTCAGTCTGTGCTGCTCATGATTTTTTGAACATACATATGGGTGGCTGGAAGGGTAGAATTTTAGACAGATCTGAATCTGTAGCATCTTTAACTGTCGGGTGGATGGCTGGATTAGAAAAACCACAAAACTGTTTTGCAGTGTCTCAGTTCACTAGGTAGGTGTTCATTAGAATTGTAAACTACTAGAATTCTGATGGTTTCTTTCTGCTGCTAGTGATGCATCTCTTAAAATAGGCAGTAAAAATGCTTGTTCATTATTCAGTCTGTAGATTTCAGACAAGCAGATTAACTCTTGGAATACAGCAGCAGTGGAGAGGCTAATGTGTCAAGAGGAGAAGATTTGATTAATTCACACTTACTTTCTTCCCTTTTACTAACATAGAAGCATATCATAAATAGCTGGCATAATGCATTGCGGAGCACACTGCATTTCAGGGATGCTTAAAGTATCTGTCAATGTGTCAGATTGTAAAGTTTTTTGAGAATTAACCCACTAGAAATGATTATGATTTTTGCAGGAAGCGATATGATAAGGCTGAGTCGGAGTACGTGGCAGCCAAGCTAGACCTCCAACATAAGACGGAGATTAAGGAGCACCTCACGGAGCACCTGTGCACAATCATACAGCAGAATGAACTTCGCAAGGCCAGGAAGCTGGAGGAGTTAATGCAGCAGCTGGAAGTGGAGGCAGATGAGGAAAATCTGGAACTTGAGATAGAGGTGGAGCGGATGCTGCAGCAGCAGGAGGCAGAAGCAGGGAGACAAGCCAGCCAGTCACACAGTCATGCTGGGACAACTAAGGAAAACCTCACTCCCAGTGTTACGGTGCAGGAGAATGAACACGCTAATCATGCTGTTGCTTCTCCTGCTATTTCTGAACAGTTGTTTCAGTCTCAAAACTCTGGTACCAAATCCCTCTCCAGTATGAACAGCCAAACTCAGGCAGTAAATGTGACTCCAGGAAACTCCCCAGCTTGTTCTGCTACATGACTTATTATGTTCAGATAAGCCGGCCGGTTATGGTTGATATACTCTCTGCAGGCTTGTGTGCTGTATGTTATCTGGGCTTCTGCAGTGCCAGTAATATGCACTTAATTTCTCTTTTCCTTTAATATGGTTCTCAAATTTTTAAGGTGCCTTTTTTTTTTTCTTCCTCACAAGACTCCCTTTTGGGATTTACTATCTGTCATCATCATTTTGGTTTAAGTTCATGTTCTAATGCCCAGCTTTTCATGGGGCTTTGTACCTTCCTGAAAGAGGATACTTGGAAGTAAACGGTAGGGCTTTTCCAAAGGCTTTCAGCATATTGCTATTACAGATACCCGTTGCAAACAGTGTGCAGGAGGTACATATCTACAGGAGAGAACATCACAACTTAGCCTGCTTCTGAACACATTCTGTCCCCTGACAACTGCATTAGGATGTTTGTTTTCCTTTTTATCTGTAAGGGATCAGTTTTCAATGTTTTTTAATCCTTTGAAACCGAAGTGCTTGCTTTAATTGTCTTCGTAGCTGATCCTCTCTCTTGATTTAATGGAAATTTGCATGTTGAGGCAAATTGCAAGTCAGTTGTAATATTTCCTATTTATCACTTTGCCTGTTTCTTCCAGATGACACTAGATCAGACAAAAGCTATGTATTGCTAACATTATCTATGAAATCACAGCAGGCTATGATTTAGCAAAAATTATGGGTTACAGTTTAAGATGTTATAGGATGTATCATGTAGAAGTAGAAACACACAAAAGAAAGTATGTTACAATTAAAACTGTTCCATTACAAATGTTTTCCTCTGTTGTAGTTGCCTCAAAGTTTCAATAATTAGACAGGGATCTTGAAATTAGTAATTCCCACAGGATATTGGAATTGAGCCCATTTTCACGTAACATTCAGTGCATTTTCTTGCCTGAAGTGCGAGTGTGCACCCCACAAGAAGTTCAGCTGGTTTGTTCTGTTGCCACTGAAAGGCTTTAAAAAGCTATTCCAGGTGGACAGAGTCTCAGGAATTAAAATAGAGGACATAGACAAACCTCCCATAGACTGATTGCAGCTGCAAACCATGGGGACTGTGTTCATAATTAACTACTTTGTAACAGAGGAAGGCTGCTTTCATTGTGGAAGTGGTTTCTGTAATACCTGACCTGAACATGTCAGAGTTTATGAATCAGTTACTGAATGATGGCATCAAGTATATAAAGGGGACACTGTCTCTATGGCTTTAATAGTGGAAAAACATGTCACTACATTTCATTTTTATTCTGTTAATAAACTGGTGCATCTTCTACACAGTGTGTTTACTTTCAGTTGTGATATCTGACACTAATACACTTATTCAGGATTGTTTTGCACAGGAGCAGATAAGTGACAGAATCAGATATATCCTTTGGCAACTTGCCACTGTGTGAAAGTAAATCCTTGAAAAAGGCCATTCCAAAATACAGAAACGTATGAAGCAAAGACATGGCAGGATATGGTTTGGCAGGAATCTTTTCAACTATGGCCCAAGGCAGCAGTGGAAAATCTCTACTTGTGAGTCCCATACAGAGGAGAAAGAGAAATCTGTTTCCTAGCTGCTCACAGTCAGGGCTGACTGAAGTTAGAAAACTCCAAAATAACATTTGAGATACGTATGAAGCATTGCTCTACTGCTGCTGATACAGTGCATTCCCTGTTACTTTGCTGGAAGACCGAGTCTAAAAGCTAAAGATTTTACTGTATTGTGAGAAAATTGTGACTGACTTCCTTGCTGTGTCTGCAGTTGCAGAACAGCTTGTAGCAACCTGATTATGGCTTTCAAAACTGGATGTCAGTAAGTGCAATAATAATTTAATTGTACCATTCTTGTTTCCATCCTTTGCAGCTGTCCCCAGTTGCTCCTCAAGTGAGTCTGAGTCCTAGTGGATAGGTCTGTTCCTTGTTACAGTTGTATTCAG